CTAATGCTTTACACAATTCAGAAATATTATAAGTGATCCCGTGAATGAAACATCCCTCAATATAATCCTCACTAGCGGCATCAGACGGCACAATTGTACGTCTCTAGAGGTGTGCTACTTCCTTTGCATCAGAGAAGTCCTTAGTTGATGAGTACCGGTGGGCACGAAACCTACACCTAGGGTACCAGGCTTTCAAATACTTACTGCCAACCAGTTGAAATAGAAATACTTTTGTGAAAAGCGTGAATGAACACAGGCAAATGAGACTAGGATTTGTTTTACGTCCAGATAACTTAGTTTTTTGTAATTGAGATTCATCCTCATTTCCTACTAACTAACTAACCAACTTATTTTTGACACTGTCCGCCTTATTTTCACTACTTGTATCTACCACTTTTCCTAGAGTTCTCCGCTGATATTATATCCTCCTATTACATTGTAAATATCCAGCTGGTGTCTTTGGATTGATTTCAACATAGTTTTCAACTATGAACTGAATCAGAAGACCTAGATAAGCATTGAAAACACGAAGAGGAATCAGTCAATTATTATTATTATTATTATGTTTAAAAAATCTCAGATCCTTTTCACTCCTCGATTTGTAAATGTACATACTATTGAGGAGTTATTTCTGATGACTATTTGTTTAATTAGTGTACTGCTCAAGAGGGGAACTCTATGTGTGTTCGCTCCGAATTTTCATTTGATTAGTCAGCTGGTTAGTGAGTTAGTGGTGTAATGGAAGGACACGATGGTATTTAGCAGCAGAATATAGAAACCCTACAACTTACTATTCATTATTCGTATTCTACTTTTTATGCCTTTATTCACTTTATGCTGTCTATATCGTTTCACAGTTATCTTCATTTCTCCCCTTCTCACGGTTCCACTATCGTAGATGGCAGTGAAGTTGAAATCAAATCGTATGTTAAATACCTTAGACTGTGTATTTCCTATGATCTTTCTCGGTCTTCCCACATCGTATTGTTGTCTTCCAAAAAGGTGTTTTGTTTGACGTTCTATGTAAGGGAGTTTAGGCTATCTGTTATCATTCCGTCTCTTTCGGTTACCGTCTGTTAATTCTTGTATCCTGCCTATACGTCTCTACTACTCCCCCTCAATCTTTGCCGGTTAAATTTTAAGAAAGACTTTATTATACGGCGGAGGGCGCTGAAAACCGTCAGTGGAGCGAGTGAGGTGTTGCTAAACCAACTTGTTAATACTACTGTGGATAGACACTTCGATTCATGCAAGAAATTATCCTGTCAGACTCTGAACATCCTCTCTATTCACAACTCTCTCCTTGCATTTCATCAGGCAGAACGGGAAACAGTTATCAAAGACTGTATGCTCGGACGATTAAGTACAAAAACTCTACAATACCTTATTTGGTAGGCACACATTTTATTTGATGATAAAAGTGTAAATCAGGGCATTACCAGCTTACAGAGGAACTCTAAGTAAACGGTATTTTTCGTTTTTTTCTCATTGTTACATTGTCGTTAATATTTTCACTTGACTGAATCTTACATTCATTTCCTTTTGAGCAATATTATTAATGTAAATACCCTATTTTAATTATTACCCCTGTAATGAGAAAATTAGATGCAATATTGTATTACATGCCGAAAGTTCCGTGTTTGCACCAAAAGTACTGTTAGGAGTAAAGCTATTATTATTATTAATTCGGCACTCTGCTGTTCATAAGATCCTTGTGAAAGACACTGCACACACATACACACAAACAATACGCTACTTATAAATTCTTGTCAGCAGTAGAAAAGTTCTAACAGAACTGTGTCATCTGATACCAGGCTATGAGTCACACTTAGAGGCACGATAGATACTGCCTAGCCAGTCGCTCAGATTGAGTGGTAGGCAGAATGCTACTGAAACCCACTACCCATGCGGTAAAACTCAGTTTATCTAAGTAAATGTCTTATCCCGAAATTTGACTTCGCTTTCATGACTCAGGTTTGCCCACTGAATTGAAGCTAGGTGTTTTTTAGTGGTTTGGTTATTTTCATAATAATGATAATAATAGTAATAAGGTTATTCCAAATGTTAGTTCCGGAGAATCTATAATCATAGGATTATCAATTCCTTTCCTCTCTCTCTCTCTCTCTTTCTCTATCTTCTAATCAGCATGAATAATTAATATTATATCGTGTGGGAATGATAATAATTATAGTAATGTCGTTTTTGTTTAACAGGCCGGATATATTGGCTGTCCTTCATCAGTAATTAATATTTATCAGCTTTTGCTATAGTCTCACGCTAGGTTGACTGTTATTATTAGGTTGCAAGTAATTCAATAGAATTTATAATGTGGGATGAGGATTTTCATGTACACTAAGTTGTGAGTCATCTCTGAATTTGGAATGGTCGTAACACTTGACCCTAACAACCTACACTGGTTGGCTGGGAAAAAAATGTACTTTAGGTCGTAGCATCGGGCAATAAGGATATTGTAGTGTCAGTAAGATGATCCCGTCAACCGATAAGCTAGCCATCTATTCTGCCTCTCCACTCTGGGAGACGGGTGGAGGAAAAGTTGAGCTACGTTGTGGCGGTCTGTAGTCGGGGAAGAGATCTGTATACGAACTCCAAGAATCACTTGAAATAAAAACCATGCCTGACTGTGACTTAAAACAGTTCCCCCTGGACTTTCAGGTTATCCAAGAAGAAATTTACTTTACTGCCCAATTATCCTAGGCTGAGGTAGGTGGGACAAGACTTGAATCCGGTGCCTATTGACTGAAAGTCAAGTGGTGGTTAATTCAATGAGCCACATTTCCATCTCTTATATTGCAGGAATATTACTGTGCCTTTTCACCCTCATATGTTTGCTATGTTATAATATCGCATAGTCTGAAAGTATTCCGATTTTGTCATGACACCTCACATAACCTGAGGAAGAACTGTTGAAAACTAATGGATTGCTGAACAGTTGTGTAAATAATTCACATCTTCTAAGGTGGTTCGTTGGTCGAACGACACTCCGTTGGTTATTTTCAGACACTGAGTAGTTCAATGAAGATTTAAATGACTTCTGGGTTCACGTTTTTATACAGGTTGGGTTCAACTAGTAGTTAAGTCTGATATGATCCACTCTATTTGGCGTGTGAGGATTATCGACTATTTACTGACGACATTAGACAGTGATGCAACACTGACACGGTATTGTGAATTGAAACAAGTAGAAAAACATGAGACATGAAACATTCAGTGTGTTCTTGTTGGTATGACAACTGAATAAGAGTACTGTGTTTACGCCGTCGTTGTAATCCAGTTGTGTTGTGGTTTCAAACTAATTCTAATCGTCACATTAGTTTGAAATAAAAAAAAAAGAAAGAAAGAACATTTTCAGAAGAGGGAGAGAAATTTCCAAAATCAAATTCTACTAGGAGTGTTTCAAAACCAGTCAGTTTTTGAAACTTGTCAGATCTACCAAACTTCAGTTTTCAATTCACTGCAAATATGTTCTTTCTTTCTTTCTTAATTCAAACTAATAAAGGTGTCCTGGTTGTATAACCCACTGATTCCCTTTGCACGCTGTAACGTCGTAGGCTACATCTGGTATGCGTGAGATATGCGTTTATAAGAATAGCTGTTTTTCAACATTAAAGTAATATGAAGTTGCATTCGAATCCATAGAAGGAACTCAGGTTATATAACTAAGTTGAATGTTAATGCCTTGGATTGTGTATTTTTCCTCTTATCTTTCCTGTTCTACCCACATCATGTTTCTAGAAAGATATTCCATTAAACGTTACTTAAGGAAGTTAAGACAATCTGGTAATCACTTGGTTAGTTTCTACTGTTACGAATTGTTAATTTTTGTATTCAACCCCAATCTTGTTTATTGTTCACTCACACCTTAATCTTTCTTGGACTACTTAAGAAAGACTAACTGACACTGCGAAGAGGGCACTAAAAGGTGTCAGTTGGGCGAGTGAGGTGTTAATACTTTTGCAGACAGACACTTGAACTCGTCCGCAAAATCCGCGAATATCATGATATGTATCCACATGATGTGTGTTTTGTTTTTGACAGTCTGTTATATTTTGCTATGTGTATATGGATCGATATTCCGTTATAACTGACAATATGCTTTTGTCTGTCCATTAACTAAATAAACATGTATGACCTTGTTGTCACATGACATTACAACCAATTATGTTATGTACTAGTCGAGTAGTTAATAGTCCTGACGCAGAAAGAGGGAAATCAGAAGACCACCAGGTTTACTATGATACTTGTATTTGCCAGACAAGGAAAATAAATATCACACAAGTGTGTGAGTGGAAGGGTACTTAGATGTACGAAAAAGTGGGAACAAGAATGAACAAGGGTCTAATACAAAAGTATATATGAAAATGACTAATACACATGAACCAATAATTAGCCAGTCTTAACATGATTGGTTGTAATGTCATGTGACAACAAGGTCATACATGTTTATTTAGTTAGTGGACAGACAAAAGCATATTTTCAGTTATAATGGAATATCGATCCATATACACAACAAAATATAATAGACTGTCAAAAACAAAACACACATCATGTGGATACATATCATATCACCTTTCCGGAATCTGAACGTCCTCTTCCACACACCTTCTCCTCTCTTGTATTTCATCAGGTAGAACTAGAAGCAACTATAGAAGACTTTATGCTCGGACAACTAAGTATCACAAAACTCTACAATACCTTATTTGGTAGGCACATATTTTATGTGATGAGAAAAGCGTATATATATATATATCATAGATGATGTAATATTCAGATAACAGGTATACATAATGCTGTGTGCGTGTGTGTAGGTGGACAGAGTTGCGCCAATGGATACAGCATAAAGCTGGAGACCATTTCTAAAGTATCCTAAATTCTTTCCTTTTCCTCTGTAAATATATTGTCATGTATCATAATTCTTTATTGATTATTTTCTCCATTTGTTTTGTCTCTTCTGATATGCGTATATATTCATTTCTTTTCAGGTATTACATGACTGTAATTCACCTTATATCGTTGGATATTATGGCGCATTTTTTGCCGACGGCGATATTAGCCTGTGTATGGAGTATATGGATGGTGGGAGTCTAGACATCGTTCTATTGCATGCTGGTCGTATACCTGAGCCAATTGTTGCTAAAATACTCTATTCAGTAATACGTGGGCTAGTTTATCTGCGTGAGGCTTTGCATATTATTCATAGGTTAGCTTTATTTATTCATTTATTTATTGATAGTGAGTGAATTGTGCCTTCTTTGTGTGTGTGTGTAAATTTCGACGTGATCGGTATTGTAAAGTCATAAGGTAAAAACGGAAGACTAGTTAGTAACTACTAAGCTTTCACTAGAAGATTATCTGTTTAAAATTAACAGTTGAAAACGATTCCACAAACTAAGGTAGTGTATAGTTGTAGATTAAGTGATAGGCTATAATTCATAAACACCTCAACAGATTTAACCGTAAACTATCCTTAAGTTGTGCGTCGGTGGCATGGTGGTTAGGACGCTCGCCGACCATGAATATGGTCTGGGGTTCGATCCCCGGCCACCGACGCACTCCTTTGCCTCGCTTAGCCAGAAACAATGCTGATAAAGAGGAAAGGTTGGACATGAGGCTAGCAGGCCCATCCTGTTAAAATAAACACTGCTTCAGAAACTTCAGGCTTCTAGCTTGAAGCCCTATGTTCCACTGGGGGACGTAAAGGAATAAAAGAAAATCCTTAATTTACATTGTACGTTGAGTACATAATCAAGTCTAGATCATTAGGGAGACATGAAAATTCCCATCTGATTATAGTTGATCAATAACACTCGTATTATTGCCATCAGTCAAATCAGAAGAAGATAATAAATAATCTTAAAATTCTATTTCAATTCAAACACATTTAAACACAACATTCTAACAAGTAGCTTATTATGACTGTAAAAAACACTCGTCCTTTTTCCCATCTAACTGCAATTGATCAACAACACTCGTACTATTATTTCTGAATGTACATTACCTCACATTGATTTTTAATCCAATATCTAATCGATTCTACACAGGTATATAAATGAAAGAACAAAGTTGTGTGAGTAACTTGATATGATTATGAGCAGTAGTTTGTGCTCGAAATGTCATCAGTTCATATAACTGTATAACACTGTGGGATTTGTCAAAATAAAATCTTATCCATAATGGAGTTATACTCTACCACAGTGCCCAAGTTTTATACTTATATCAAGATATGAAAAGGCTAGCTGCCTGCGTTCCATCCCCCGTGTGAAGTGGTATAATAGGGTGAGCATTATTGAGGTTGTGCATCGGTCGAGTGCTAGGTAAGGAGGGGAAATCAATCGATGAGGCTGTGAAGCTACATCGATTGAGATGGTTAGTACATGTGTTGCGCATGGATGCCCAGGCATCGCCTTCCTCGACCGATGGGCAATGCTAGTCAGCTGACATAGGGTTAGGTTGGAAAAGAGCTAATGGTGGTTGTCAAACCTAAACATCACTTCATCAGTCAATAAAATCCACAACAGTTAGTTTAAGCCAGCCAGCCAGCCAGTCAGTCACGTAGGAAGGTGTAGACTTCTTGGCTGGTTGGGGTCGTTGGAACGGTTAAAACCAAATGAGTAGAGACAATTGGCGATATGGCTCAAAGTCGTTGTCAATGGCTTGTGCGAATGCATCCACTTCTTGTGACTTATAATACCCAATGAAACTATATTGTTCTTCGGAATTACTATTCTTTTTGCCTCATATCTCTGTCTACTGTCTCTTTTATGCATTTCTTCTACTTTTTTCTCTCTTGATTTGTGTGCTACATGGAGTGTAGCGACTTGAACTGCTGCACATCAGTGCAAAATTCTATGTTGAAAACAGTCAGTCAGCCAGTCAGGGATATTCTAAGCGAAAATGGATACCCAGATGGGTTTATAAAAGCCAACATGGGTTATGATAGCCGCAAACATGAACTGGTGGTATTGGAGAAAAAGCCACTCTTTTGGTATCTACAATTCAAAGGAGATACTCCTATGGAGATTCTATGCTGACGGTTAGCAAGAGAGATGGAGAAGACTTTCTACTCAGAACACTGTCCTGCAGAAAATAATTCTCGAAAGTGATAAGGAAAAGGGTCCTAACATACTTCAAGAACGTTTTATGAATCACTTGGCGTCGTGACCGTTCACAAACTAACCCAATGCCTTCTTTTCATACCAGGTGAACAGGCGCAATGGAGACAAACCCAACGTTAGATTGAATAGACTGTGGCGAGCACTATGCTGGCCATGTCATATCCATGATCACAAACTAAACGGTTAAAAGACATGGTATACATTCATCCGCATCGATTGAAATGGTCAGCTACTGATATCATTCAGTTCAACTGGGACACTGTGAATATCCTTAAACAGAGGAGACAGAAAAGATCTCCAGTGAATTCCTAGAGGCCTGGTCCTCAAATCTATTCCTAAATGTCACCTAACCGGTAACAAACCCAAGGAAAAAGGAGGAGACCTATTAAAATAAACAATATCACCACTACTTAAACTTCAAAGTTTGGAGCCGTATGTTCCGTTTGGAACCCAAGGATATCGATCGAATATCCAATCACTTTATGATCAATCTTGAAGTTAATGGGATATCCCTGGAAACAAACACTTCGAATTTCGTGTAGTGCTCACTAGTGGTTGAATATATAAGATGAAGTTGCTTCGAGTTCTGTTGAAAAATCCGGACTAGCAGGGTCTACCAAGCTGTATGTGGGACAAATACTCACCGATGTTGCATACAAACCAAACAAAATCACTTCACTCATCTGGCTCTGTTTCAACCAAAAGACTCAACAACGAAAGAAAATAAAGCCAACACCATCTACAAAATAAGTTGCAACGACTGCGAAAAACACTGCATTGGCCAAAGTGGACGTTTGCTTCGTCTTTGTATCCATGAACATAAACTAGCCTTCAAAAGAAACGTCATTCACTCCATCATATCTCTGTGTTGTGACAACCACAAACATCAGCTCGACTGGGACAACGTTCAAATATATTAGATAGAGGAAACAGGAAGAATAGTAGAGAATTTTTAGAGGCCTAGTATTCCAATGAATCGTCTGTCAATAGACACATTGACACAGACAAAATTTACCGATCGATAAGAAGAAAATTTCGCATACAAAGAGTCAAACTGCAGGTCAAGGAAGCAATCAATACCAATACAAGTAGCCTAGAGGATGTGAAAGCACACCAAATTCAACCACTCACGTCTAAGATCACCGGGAGAGAGATGACTTATAAACTCAAAGAGAAATCTATAAGCTCATTTTCAAATTGAAGCATGCGCTGAAGAAGTTTCCTAGTAAGGCAATAAAAGCTTCTTAAATAAACCACCCAGCTTAGAGAACAAAACAACATCAGAAACTCATCGATCACACACGGCTGTCGGTTGCACTACATATGAATGAGTCAACAAAAATTGAAATTCATGGGTCATTGGATTGTGTCCCTCCTATAGCTGAGTGGTCAACGAGCTCTCCTCATAACTCCGTAGGTCCTGGGTTGGAGCGCTGATGGGGTCTTGGGTCTCAATCAAGAACGATGCAACTCTCCCAGTACTGCCTGTCTGTTTTCAATGGTTCTTTAACTTCAGTCAACTGGTAATCAGATCAACGAGAGAATCAGTACCAAATACAAGTGGATACAATCACGTAGCCAAATTCCTAAGGGAGCAATTAATCTCAAATGAACAACATCACCAGTAGAGATAAGCACTATTTTATCCGTTGTAAGCTTCAAAAATGTCACTTCTCATTGGAATCAGAGCTTAGTAGTGTAGTGTAATGTCCTTGTTTGTAAAAAAAAAGAGCATTGAAAGGCATTACAATTTTATAAACCGTTCAATCCAGAGGACACAAAAACATTTTAAAAAATATGTAAAGAAATTTCTTTTTGCTTTTTGATGTTACTTGAGTGATTCACATCTCATCCTATCAACTGAGTTACTTATTCTGATCAGCAAATAGTTTGTTTTCCTTTAAATTATTTACAGAATAATTCATTCCACATGTCATTTTGTTTTAAATTCTACCCGGTTATTTTTGGACTCTTGTGAGAAGATGTTGCTGCTTGTATGAAAACAGAAATAGAAAAGAAGTCAATAAAAGATTTTACTATTTTTAAAAACAAAAATACGCATCTTATTTGTTGTGCTTTTACTTCTAAAATATTTACAAAAATGAAAAAATAAAAATGAAACCGGGAAAACGTGATTTTTTTTCTTCTTCAAGAGTTGCTATGTTGTAGGGGTCTGATTTGCTTTCAAGTTTCACCATGGATTGATATCAGCTATAGAGAGAATCATTAAAAACCACCAGGTTGTAGTACTGGACAACTGTTTCGTCAGCCTGATTTGGGACTCATCGGTGGTACACACACACACACACACACACACACACAATCGGGGTTCGAATTAGCTAAGACTTTCTGGATACCAGTCAAACTTGTAGACCATTCATATATGTGTATAACTTGGGCAATGTGGTAGTAAGTAATTCTATATTAGTTTGTTTATTAGATGTATCACACAGTGGAACAGTATTATTTACTGGATGACAATGTTTTGAACAAAATTTATTGTTCATAATCATATCAATTGTAATTACACGACTTCGAAACTTGAGTTTTATAGTTTTCTTTGTCTTCTCCTATTTGTCGTATGGGCAGTAGAATTTTCCATATATCTTGGTGAAGAGGTGTTGAATCATTCCTATTACATGTATTTGCAGTTGATTCGATAAATAAAGCTTCTGTTATCAATCTCTCTTTCTATACCCTGTGACATTAGATTTTAAAACCGTCATCCTATCCCATCCTATTGTGTGGTTGTGTGTAACTGCATGTAATGAGAGCTATAGCTGAACTATTATCTAGATTTCTTATCGTATTCAAGTCAACCAATCTAGATTTTGCTAGGTTTTTATGTTCAGCTAGTTCGACAGACCCTGTTCTACTAGTTTGACCTATGTATTTGACCTGACAATCACTCCAGCAGGGTATTAGATAAACTACATTTTTTTGTTTCAGAGGCTCGACAGGAGCCTTTAACCGACAAGGCTTGTTTCTAATTGAGTTTGCGGTTGGTTCGAATGCCCGCCACTTATATTCTTGCCAAAATTGTTAAGAATTCTGCGTAAGGTTTCCGACGTTCCATCCTTGTATG